CACAACTTCGAAGAAGTTGCTTGTCTGTGCTCCCAGTAACGCTGCCGTGGACGAATTGGTCATGAGATTCAAGGATGGCGTAAAGACCATAAATGGCCGTCAAGAGAAATTGTCTGTCATTCGTCTTGGAAGAAGTGATGCTATAAATGCCAATGTGCTGGACGTCACTTTAGATGAGCTCGTCAACGGGAGACTAAGCCAGACAAATAACAAAGACCCGGGCGAAAGAGACCTGCAGAAGATCTACATGGAACACAAGGCTGCCGATACGGCCTTCAAGGAGACACGTGCCAAGATCGACCAATGCAGAGCTCAAGGCTTGCCTGTGCCTGAAGAGTTGGAAAGAGAAAGTGAACTCTACAAGAAGAAAAAGACCCAACTGAGTCAGGAAATTGACAACGCAAGAGATAAAAATCATTCAGCGGCGCGTGATGCTGATTTGAACAGAAGACGCATCCAGCAAGAAATCATTGACGGCGCTCACGTCATCTGTGCGACGCTCAGCGGAAGTGGACACGAGATGTTCCAGAATTTGAGCATTGAATTTGAGACGGTCGTCATCGATGAAGCAGCACAGTCGATTGAGCTGAGCGCTCTCATTCCCTTGAAGTATGGGTGTTCCAAGTGTATTCTTGTTGGTGATCCGAAGCAGCTGCCACCTACAGTTCTTTCAAAGGTCGCTTCCAAGTTCCAGTATGAGCAGAGTCTGTTCGTCAGAATGCAGGCCAATAACCCTAGGGATGTGCATTTACTTGATATTCAGTACCGTATGCATCCCGAAATCAGTGCATACCCTAGCTCTGCATTTTATGATGGCAAGCTGCAAGATGGCCCCAACATGGCTCGCCTTCGCGCTCGCCCCTGGCATCAGAGCGAACTTCTGAGCCCTTATCGATTCTTCGACGTGCAAGGACTTCACCAGAGCGCTGCCAAAGGTCACTCTCTGATCAACTTGGCGGAACTTCGTGTAGCGATGCAGCTCTATGAGCGTTTGTTGGCAGACTTCAAGGGCTATAACTTCGACGGCAAGATTGGCATAATTACTCCCTACAAAGGTCAATTACGCCAGCTCAAGACGCAGTTCTCTGCCAGATACGGAGAATCTATTCTCAGCAGGATCGACTTCAACACCACGGATGCTTTCCAGGGTAGGGAGAGCGAGGTGATCATATTCTCTTGTGTCCGAGCCTCGAATAAAGGCATTGGTTTCTTGGCTGATATTCGTCGTATGAACGTCGGTCTGACGCGTGCTAAATCGTCACTCTGGGTGCTTGGTAACTCACAGTCCTTGGTACAGGGCGAGTTCTGGAATGGCTTAATCAAGGACGCCCGCAGAAGAAACGTGTACACAGACGGCGATGTTCTGTCAATACTCCAGCGACCGCAGTTCACCGGGTATAAGAATGTTGAAATGCTGGACTCAGAAGCGCCAGAATCCGCGCCTCTCTCAAGATCAACATCGGTTGGCTCCATCTCTCGGCCTTCCTCGGTTTCTCGCGACAAGTCGGAATCGCCCTTCCCTGCATCAGCATCCGGGAACGGCACACCGCCGCCTCCCCTCCCCGAAGGTCCATCCGGGGGTGGTAATGGACTGGATGTAACACGCACGTGTGTAATCTGTGGCAGCTTCGATCACATGACGCACAATTGTGACAATGACGACGCGAAGGAGGCAACCAGGGGCACCTGCCTTAGGTGTGGTGCGACAGGCCACACGCGTGTCAATTGTAAAGAACAGCGTTGTGTGGAATGTGGGCAGACTGGACATGTCGCAGACAAATGCCGTGCTGGCACGAGCTTATCGAGACAGGAGAAAGCAAGGATTAATCGGGAAGAATTCCATCTTGCTCAGCGGCAAAGGCAACGGACAGAGCAACAGCGACGTAGGCAACTTGGCGGGCACGATCCGAAGGTGCCTATGGTCCAAGCGACCAATGGGCCTTCGCCGCAAGACCGGAAAGACTCTGAGCAGATCAAGGTTGAGAACCGCGATCTTCCAGGCAAACGAAAACGCTCCGATTCACCTGTACTGGAAGCTTCCAACTCATCACGACCGCGGAAGGATGGTCCGAATTCAGCATTCGTGAATGCCACCAAGGGTCCTCGACGCAAGATCGATGCAAACATTCCTCCTAAGACAGAGGTAGATAGTCTTCTCTCTTGTATCAAGATCTAGACCGTGACTAATTGTGAACCACAGGACTTGGTGAAGCCGTCTCGCGACGGACCGGCGTATAACTCGAATTATGGACAGCCCCACCATGGACCCCGGCCGGGCGAAGGTTCTGCAGGTGTATGTATCACTCCATGCAATTTGCTTCCATCACTGGCTAATTTGTATTGTTCTTGCAGCCTGCCCCACGCCCTCCGCAGCCAAGACCTGGCAACAACGCCAGACCTCCCACGATGCGCAGGAAGAAGGAAGCCGATCCGTTTATAAGACCGAAGCGAAGATGATCATCTCTCCGATAGCATTCGATTTCGATCTCCAGATTCTCGGTCCGTTGGTGGTACCGTCGTTTTCTCTTTTCATACATGTCATAAAGCACTATTGAAGTGCTGGACGATCGCTTGTATGGCATTTTACAATGCATATGTGCATGCAGGATGCACTGTCGATGATTCTGATCAGTGCCCTCTTTGCTTCTCTAATGTATTCTGTGACTTGACGCTTTGGCAGCCACATTTGGACCCATTTACGCGGGTGTGACATTCTCCACCATTCACTCTGTGCCGTTGGGAGTGCTGACGGCACGAGGCTTGTCATAACACGGTGTTCTCGAATTCTTCCCTTGCGCCTCAAGCATCAGCGGCGTTGTGTCAGCATTCTTCTGTGACGTGGTTCTCGTTGTTTTATTGGAACAGGCATCGTTTGCAGTGAGAGGATCGAGGAAAATACTATCGTCTGAGGTCCGTCCCCATTGAGTCAGGGGGAAAGGGCATGGGGGTGTGAGTAGTCGACTGCTTGAGTTGCATCATCAGGCCGGTTTCTTCGTCTAGATCAGGTAGAACAGTTGCTCGCCAGGGCTCCTTGGGTAAAGAGTAGGGTAATAAGTGGGTGTAGCCAGTGATAGATACATGCTCGACAAGTATCAAAACTCAAGACTCGATCTGGGCGACATACACTCGTCATGAAGGGACGAAGATCAAGCTGTGGACCTCTTCAGGTCTTTTCTGGTTGAGGATAAGACCTGACGTTTCCAAGCTCTATTTCCATGTGCATGTGCCACTGCAGTGCTTGGGTTCCTGCGGGTTCTGAATCCCCAGTGAGACACATAGATTGTCTCATCTAGTTGGGGTGGCGACGACAATGGTGATTCGGACCGGCTCATTTACTATGCCTTTGTTCCAATGCGATTGGATTCAGTTGCCTTTAGAATCGATCGGAAAGGATGAATTTACTACCTATCCCCTCCCCTTTCTCTAATGACGCCGCACGGATCCTCGATCGAGCAGTGCAAGAACCACCCTTTCATCCTCTCTTGACATAATGAACCTGGTCCGTTCCTTATCCTGGTACTATTCCATTTCGAACCGACCATGTTCGAGTTTCAACTGGAAACATTGCCGTCATCAATTGTCGACTACAGTTGAAGATGACATGCAAGTGCTGTCTCAGAAGCGCAGAGGGGAGAGAGGAGTTCGCATTCGGAGAATAATTGCTAATTGGACTTCTGGGGAGAGGGGGGAGGAAATGGGTTGCATAGACTGCTGTACTCCGTCCGCAAGTAAGTGAGTGCGAGGGCAATAAGTTACCATAGGAAGGGGGAGGGAAAAAAAGGAGGTGCATGAACTATCGGCTGCAAGGGAGTCCGTGGCGCTAATTGGGGATTCTCTGGTTATTTTTTCTCCTTTTTTTTCTGTCTCTAGCGGTCGATTGAGTTCTCGATGATGAATGATACTATTTTTCTTTCTTCAGATATTGGTTTATCGAGATGAGACAGAGGGAGTTATACAGAAAATCAAGAAAATGAGATGAGCTTCATCAGACACACGAGATTCAACACTGGTTTTGGGCCCCATTGACGGACCGCTCCTATGCAGTCTTATTTGTTCATTACTCGTTCTGTGTGGGTTGATGATAACCTCGTATGATTTATCTAATTATGGTGTTATGTTTGCTGTGTCAATGTGGGGAGAGAGAGAGGGTTGATGCTTGTTTGCTTCCACACACACACACCAAAACAGTACAGTACATACCTAGACCCTCGTAGCGTTCAATAATGTTTACGCTGTACGGTCGATTGCCATTCATTATCTTTGCTGCTGGACTATTGAGGTTTCTTTTCCATGGAATCCTTTCCCTTAATGCTGCATGAACCCGTTTTTGATAGGGTTGGGTTGGGTAAGGGCTGATCCTCTCTGTGCTACCAACAGCGTAGCAACAGTTTGGAAAGAGAGTTGGTTGAAGAGGTGGGGGGGGGGGGGGGGGGGGAAGTTACTCTGTACTGTACAGTGGCCAGAGAAAGAAAGAGAGTCTTGATGTTGATGCGCATTGAGAGAAACCAAATGGGTATGGAGTAGAATGTGACCTGTCATCGATCTCGAGAGGTTCCTTCCTCCCGTCTGTGCATCTGTCACATTGAACACCAGTCAGTCAGTCTGTCTGTCTGTCCAGCTGCATCCATTGCATCCACTGCATCCACCCCGATCGGCCACTACTCCACTTTAGGTTCTTTCTTCCTTTGAGTTACTGTAACAATCGCCGATGGGATTGTTACGAGGCTGACACCTCACTTCCCACCCATTGCTCTCCTCACTACTCATCCACTGCTCTACATGGACAGTCAGTATGTCTGCCAATAGGTACAGTACTGTACATCCACTTATCCCTCGATTGTTGGGTACCAACTCCATACTTTTCATTCGCTAATGGGAACCCAATTGAACCCCTCCCCTGAGATAGAGAAAAAAAAAACAATAACGAAAAAGAAACGAAACGAAACGAAACGAACGGTGCTGCCATCCCAACCATCCCGTGGTATCCCTTGCGTGATATCTAACGGCTCCTCCAGTATCTCGTTCAAAGGGAGACAGCAAAGGCCGAAGCTGCAATCATGAAGTCACACGAGATTATCACAGAACCAAAGGGCTGGTGATCACGCCCTGTGATCATCGATAATCGCCGTTCGAAGTTTGACTGGCCCTCCTTCGTCGATTTGTCTGACGCAGTTCTGCATGAGAAAGGACAAGAAAAAAAAGGAAGATGCGCCATCCTGTTGACGATGATGACAGGGTCTATCCAGCCCAGCAAATAGTTGTCTGGCACGGACTCGATCGCTCTCGCTTGGAGTTATTTTTACTTTTTTGCTTCTAGCTTGAAATCTTGACTCTTGTTGTCCTTTTACTCCTCTGGCTTCCCCCCCCCTTCCAATTAATGATGACTCCACATCGGCCTTGCGTGTTCTCTTCCCCCTCCCGCTACCTCCCCCAATGCCCTTGGGGTGCCTGGCTGGCCACCCTGGGCTCGTCGAATCGCGACTGTTTAGTACCAACTCTATCTTGCAAGCTATCGAGAACGAGGGCAAGCTTCTCATTCGACGATTCATCACAATTCTGCATTGGCCTACAGATCCTGGGAAAGATCCCCCCCGGGCATTAGTGCAGCAAAGGCCTGACAGCTCCTCGAGCTCCCTTGAGGTCCCTTCATAAACTCGAGATATCTCGTCCCTTGGTCTGCCTGGTCTGTTATCTCTCTCTCTCTCTCTCTCTCTCTCTCTTTTTTTTTTTTTTTTTTTTTTTTATTCTGGGTGAACACTTCGTGCAGCGACGGGGTGGGCAACATTTGGGTCACGGTCAGCTGTATATACAAATCCCGTGCACATATCCCAGTTGCATTCTATCCTTTTGTTTCATTCTTTCGTCCCACACGCTCATTACCCCAGTCCACTAGCTTTGTCAGTGCATCTCACCTGCCTAGACACTGAGCCGCTGCCCTGCGTCAGATTTCCTGACTCAATTGACCTTTTTGTTGATTGCTTGTCACGCTCATTGGTCTCGTCGTTCTGCCATATTCAATGCTGACCGTGCCTGATTCTTGTGCAAGATTCTGTGGCCATTCGAGCAGCTGGTAAACAGCTGCGGCTCCCATGCAACGGAGGACCAAGTCATATGACAGCTTAGTTGCACCGAGCCCGATTGTCCCAACCTGCCGATTGAGTTCCAGCACATCCCGCACGGGACGCTGCACCATGTCTCCCCTCTCACAAGAGTTTCGGGCAGAGAGCCCGGCTTTGATCATATCTGATTCGAAGAGTGATCAAATGACCGACTTCCTAAAGTATATCGAGACCCCAAGCGGGGCCCCGCAGTCGACGGGGGCTCGCGATATATTCCGAGCTGGTCAAAGACGTCTCCGACAATTTGCTCAACGCCCACGGAAGAACCTCGACCCCAAATCCAAAGCTGAAGAGACCGCTCGTCAGCTTATGGCGCTCCAGGAGGGTGGATTCCTGCCGTCACATGTTGCCCTATCACCCAAACTTGCACCCAAGCGATCATCCCATAAGAAAAGTTTAGACTCCAGCCGTTCCTCGTCTAGGTCCATCTCGAATCTCAGCTTCAAGTCCAGTTCCCGCAGAGACGTCGAAAGCATTGGACAGCCCTGGCTCAGTGACCCGCTGGAAAAGAAAGACAAGCCTGAGACCCAAACCAGCCACCCTTCTTCGATTGATCTCCGAGAATTGACCTCACTGGTGGAAGCGGCAGTGTCATGCCCTACGCAGCCTGACGATATCGGCCCACCCCCTTATCGGCCAGTGGATATTTCTGAGCAGAGTGCCTCGGGGCCAAATGAGAATCGGAATAGCTCGCTAAACCCGCCATCGGACCAGACCACTCGCTGCATGGAATGTATAGAAGAAGGGGATACTTCGGCCAGTGGGCCGGATACAGATGCAACTGTAAGGATAACGTTGCCCCAAGATCAGCTGCGCGAGAAGTATTAGGTCTTGAAAAGGACAAAGCTAACTTGCAATAGCCCCAACCTACGAAGGGCCAGAGTACAGATCCCCTTGGATCTAGCACAGAATTCAAGGCTTGGGCATCTGGACCAGTGTCAGCTGGTACACAGAACACTCAAACTCAGCCTCCTCTAGCATTGAAATTATTCCCCGATACGCTGCCCCCGCGGGTATCTAGTAAGGGAGCGTGGCGCATATCAGCTGGCCGTCCAGCAGCGCCCGGCGGAGCCCTTCCTCTTGCGCCTGCTGAACGTGCTATGGCTGAGCCCGGGAGTGAAAGCACAAAAGTAGAAGCAGATTCTACAACCACAGAGCAACAGTCTAGCATCACTATCGATAATCCGAACAAGGGGGCACCAGGAGATCTGCAAGCAAAAGAAGGCACAGACAGCTCGAAGAGCGAGCCGCTGAAGAAAAGCTGCCGGCGGCCTTCCTCCTTGCCTATGTGCGCCATCGATGCATTTCCCCTTCCAGCACCCATGAGACCTCTCCCATCATTACCCGAGTTGAGTCCTGCCGTTACTATCCATGAGCGGACAACGTCCGCCCGGCCCGCATCCTCGACAAGATTGATGCTAGGCGGCAAACGGCCAACTGATGAGAATGATGTTGAGACAAATGGTGAGAACAATGGCGGATTAGCGGTAGTTGCACCAGCTCCGCCTGGGCTCAATACTCTGGTGCGAACAGGCCCAAACCGTGCGGAGCGGGTCATGGCTTTGAAGAAGCGCGATGTGACCACAGGTCGTCTCTATCTTAAGGGCCTGGAACCTCCTGAAGAAGGGAATGAGGAGGAACAGCCGGTCAGCGCATTGACACCGGAGCCGGAGACCTCGCGAAATGATGAAGATATTTCGAACGCTCGCAATAGCATCGAGCACCAGCCAGATTGCAACAAACGGTATCAGCGAAAAGTGGCTTCGGAGCCCCCATCGCCACCACCGCACTCACCCCCACCGGTGAACCCAACGAGACATTCCACTGGTCAGACTGGTCGACAGTTCTCGGCTTCTTCGAACAAGTGGGACCAGGGCTTCTCCGAGGATCCTGAGCTGCAGTCAAAGCTCAATAAGACAAATGGGGTCCAGCGAAGCGGCAGCGTGCGTAGCTCAAGTACTCAGGAGAGGTTGGCCAAAGAGAAGAGTCTCAAGGTTCGCTCTGAATCGCCGCTGCCATCGTCTGATGATGATTGCACCGGCGCAAGTAGGCGGACTCGCCCAGCTGCAGGGCGGCGGCGTCGTTCCAGACCGACCCCCTTGGCTTTCAGGGAGCAGGCGACAAACAGGCCTCGCTCTGCGAAGAATTCATTATCGGGACACAAGATCCCACTGACCCCCAGAGACTATCGACTGCATGGCTTTGAGGGCCACTCACCGGTGTCCTACCACTCCCAAAGGCGCAACCAGTCGCAAGACTCACGAGAAGCCAGACAGTCGTCTCAATTAATTGAGGCTCTCGAGGAGCGCATCACGCACCTCGAGCGACAAAATAAGATCTTGCAGGCTGCTCTTTTAGCCGCGCTGGATGTTGGCACCAAGCAAAGTCTGGAGAGTGTGCTTGGGGGTTTGACCACGCCCCCGGCGACCGCAACTCCAGGCACGGGGAGATCTTTCTCGTCAGAGACCAGTACTTCAGTGTCGACACGTGCACGGAAGTCGTACTCGAGGAGAAGCACGAAACCGCCTTTCCGGCCTGAGAGCTGGATTGCTAGTCCAGGGTCTAGCCGGAGGGGTAGCTATGGGACGGATGATAGTGCCCATGTGCAGGAATTCGAGGATATGATCGAGGACTTTGACTTGGACTGGATGTCGGAGAAGTCGGAGGCTTAGTGCAGGTAGGGGATGCCAGAATGGTACATGGTGTGTGATGTGCACTTATTGAGTGCTCTATTCTAATTAATCTTTCTTGTGAGTATTATCATCGACTTGAGTCAATCTTGTTCAGCTTGGCTGCGCCGCGTCATTCCTTGATTTCCTTTGTTTCTTGTCCTTTGGATTCCACGATACCACTTTGTTTCTTTGGTTTTGGGCCTGTATATTATGAGCAGCATTGAAGATAGTTTATGGATTGGTATGCATTGGAATTTGTTGCACATTTAGGTCTAGAGGGGATATTTCTATGTAGAGTAGTTAGTTGAGGCCCCTGATGAGTCAGCATGTAGACGGGACGAGCAAAACAACACCGCCATAAACAGCAATCAGCAAACAGCACAGCTCAGCTCACAGCTCACAGCTGAACGACTGCAACTTGGCCCCTCCACAAAGCTTTTACTTAATCTTGCTTACCAGATAGTTTCTTGCTCAGGCAGGACATGTTCTGTTTCCCGCCAAACCCCTCTATTTAACACTATCCTCTACCATCTCCTCAACCAACAGAGCGCCGGCTCCGCGGCCAACAAGAAATCATGGCGACCACCACCTCAACCGTACGTCTCCGTCTTCTGCGTTCAGGCTATCAACAGTGCGAAGATTCTAACTAATCTCATTGATGCAGTCCCCTCAAATCCCCCACCACGTCACCGCCCTCCTCTCGCACCTCACCTCGCGCCCCGGCGTGCAGTCCACCTTCATCCTCTCCCGCAAAGACGGCTCCATTATTCAGAGCACGGGGATATACGCCTTTACGCCGACGGCCCGTCGCCCGAGCAGCAAACCTACAGCTACACCTCTCTCCAACCCAGCCCCATCGCCGTCGCCGGCCACAGCCCCAGCTACCCTCCCCACCCCGAAGACTGTCCCCGTCCCCGTTCCTGGTGGTCCTACAACCCCGCACCCTGACCAACGCCAACACCAAGAAGAAGAACAGTCCACCGACCCGACGACCCCGGACGCCACAGAAACCACCCCCGCCGCCCCTCCCGCTGTCCCAGCTACAGAAGAGGAACAGGAAGAAGAACGCGAAGGCGAAGCAGCCCTCCACCAACAGGACGAACCCCCTACGAACCCCGACACCGACGCAGACACATCCCACGCCTCCCCAATCGCCAGTCCTGACCTCACCACCTCGCAAACACCACTAGTGACCACGCTCCCGATTCGAACCAAGGAAACAGCAGCAGCACATCAAGAGCAACCGCAAGAGCAGAAGCAAGAGCAACCGCAAGAGCAGAAGCAAGAGCAACCGCAAGAGCAAGAGCAATACACCCCCTCGCCGGCCGAGACCCTCGCCGCGCATATCTTCGCGTACGTGACGAGCGCGGCGGAGTTGAGTGCCGTGTTGGCTGATCCGACTTCCTCTGACGGGTCTGCTGCTTCTGCTGGTAGGCAGCAGCATGGATATGGGGCTGTGAATGGGGTGTCGGGATCGGGGTCGGGGTCGGGGTCAGGGTCGGGGTATGAGGCCGGGAACCGGAACCGGGAATTTGGGCACGGGCACGGGCAAGGGCATGGGCAAGGAGAAGGGGAAGGGGAGCGCGACGAGGAGGAAGGAGAAGGAGATGAGGTGAAGCTGTTGCGGTTGCGGACGAAGAAGCATGAGATTGTGGTGGTGCCGGATCGGAAGTATTTGCTTTGTGTGGTGCATGGGCATGGTTCTGGCGGTGGAGCGGGGGTGGGGGGTGGAGCGGGAGTTGGTGTGAGGAGGTGAGTAAGACGAGGTAGGTGATTTGTGATACCCGTGATAGGTAGTGAGAGTTGATCGGGGTGTGTGGTGTATAGGTAGGAAGGAAGGAAGGATATACCCGGTGGTTTTACATGTTACTGTACATGGAGAGGTGTGGTGGTTTCATATGAAGTCTGTCCTGTCAAGTCTTCTTGAGTGTATGGATGCATAATTGTGAGTACTCTCAGGCAAAGATAATAAGAAATGCCGCAAATCCACCATAGCGTTAGCAATAAGCCGTACCGATAGACCCTCTCACCATAACAATATCATTCACCCCTCCATCAGCACAACCACCCCTAACCCCTCCCTAAAAAAAAGAAAAAACCCCCTACTCATCCTCCCCAGGCAACCTCACCCCCTCCCACCCCCTGCCACTTCCATCTCCCAAATCCCCCGCCGACCCCCACCGCCCAACGCCCCGCCACTCCGACAAATTTGCCCACCCAATCTGCTGCAACCCGCCAAACCCGCCCACCCAATACACCTGCTCGACCACCAACCGGGCCCAAAAGCTCTCATGCGGCGCCCCCTTCCGATGCGGCAACCACGCCTTCGCATCCGGATGCGCCCGCAGATAGCACTCCGTCAGTCGCGCCTCCACCTCCTCCGCCTCCTTCTCCGCCTCCTCCCCCTCACCCTTGCCGGAAGTAGTATAATCCGAGAAATCGATCCCCTCCACATACCCCAAAAGCGTCACGCGGGGCAAGCCCGCCGGACTCAACGGGAAGCCAGGGAAGACGGGCTCGGTGCGGTTGACGTGGTCCCACCACGACAGGGACAGCGAGAGATTCGAGCCGTGCGCGGTGTTGCGGAAGGTCGTGGCGATGTTGAGGGCCAGGAAGATCGGGTTGCCGTGCCCGCCCTTTCCTTCGTCCTGGGGTGAGGATGCGGTGGGGGACAGGGCATGCTCGCAGTCCGACAGGTACTCGATCAGGCTGATGGAGTGGCCGGCCACATTGTCGGGGATGTGGGCGTAGGCGCGTGTGTGTTTGGGGAGCGGGGACGGGAAGATGGTTGAGGCGGTGCCGGTGGGGGAGAGGGCGAGGAGCCGGCGCGCGAGGAGGGTGGATTCGAACCAGCTGGGGGCTTTGGAGATTTCTTCCTCATCGGAGTCGGGGTGGGAGAGGAAGGGGGAGTCCGGGGTGGGCGATGGGTAGATGTGGTAGGGCGCGGGGTCTTGATGCTCAGGCTCAAGCTCGGACTGGAGGAGGTGTTGCGTCGAGGACACAGGGTCGAAGACCGGTGAGGCGCTGCCGACATTCAGAAAAGTGGTGCAGAGGAGGGCGAGGGTGGAATAGAGGGTTATGGCGGTGGGGGCCATCTTCGCGGAGGTTCTCAGCACTGCTGCTGGTGCTGATGCTGCTGCTAAGCTGCACTTTGTGCAAGCAAAGAGAGAGGGGGGGGTAGAGAGCTTGCTTGTGAAGAGACTAAGTGTGGAGGGTGGTTGTTGATGAACAACAACCGAGGTGACGCCAGATGAGGGGAAGAATGGGCCATGGGCCATCTGATCTTATCTGATCCCGCTAGACCCGACTTGTCGTCCCACTTCGCTCCATCCGGTGCTTGCAGCATGTGACCTCCCTCCAGAACCGGTGAATGGTCTTCCGGGCTCGTCCGAACTTGCTGCCTATTCCGGTCCCGTCCGGATACTCCTGCCTCAGGCGTCACTGGGGCGTGGGCAAAGGGCAATGGGCAATGGGCTGGCAACAATGAGTCACTAGCGCCAACTAGCGTCTCCCCGGTGAACCAACGCAACAGACCCAAACAAACGCCCCTGACCACTGGCCACTGACCACTGGCCACTCACCAAACATTGGATCACCCCCCGCCTGACCAGTTCATCCACATTTCCAACATCATACTTGCGGTGAGTCATACCGGCGCCCGCGAGGACCATCACCTGATTGCTCCTTCGGTCCTCCAGAGTGAACTCAGGGCTTGCTAGAATAGGTAGATTACGAGTAGTTGGGTGGCGGCAAATTAGGCCCTCCACTAAACAAAGGCTTCAAGGTTGATAACACATAGTATTGGTCATCGTCAGAGCCAATCGACTCTCATGCTTCTAACTATCAAAGAGTATCCGACTCAACTCCGCCAGGGTGCGAGGTAAAATGTGCAGCCCCTCCCTAATATGATGATGTGCACCCGCAAGCAGCCAATATCAAATAAAAAACAAAAATAAAAAAAAAAGCCCAGGCCCTTCCCATCACACTCCAGTCCCGTAAAAGCAAAATAACGATAGGTCAATAAGTGGGTGGTAATAAATGTGGACAAGAAATGGAAAGTGTGCAGACAAAGACCTCCCCAACGTACATCGTACATCAGTGACCGCAAAGCCGCAGCCAGACAAAGAAAAAAGCAACAAGACTCCACAGAGTCGGAAAACCACCTGGAGGGTATTTACAAAGACCATGACTTTTGTTTTCCCCTTAAGAACGCGCACGAATGAAAAAAGTTCGCACAAAACTTTTCCCTTCCCAGAATGCGTCTTCCGCTGCTGTGCTGCGAGTACACAAAGAGAGTCACTCGTTCGACGAGCTCAGAAAAGTCAATCAGAATAGGATTAAGCAATAGCTGATTTGTAAAGCGTTGCCCTCGAATTCGGGGCTGGAAGTGAAGTGGTGAAGGCACCGAGTTCAACCCAAGTAGTCTGCCCGCATGCTCGGGTGAAGTGCAACCTTCCTAGCTTCGCTACCACAGCAGGCCCGTTTCATGCCGGCCGGACCGGACAGCGGCGCCGGGTAGTTCAGGGCATTCAACTGATGCAGAGTAAGTGACGGCGCAGAGCCAGGTCCAGATCCCATCAGAACATCCGCCATGCTGCCATCATGGCGCACAGGCCGCTCGGCCAGTACACTAGCCTTGGCCAACTGACGCACATGACTCTGTAGGAGCATATCCTCCGATCCAGTGCGACCGCGCTTACGGCCTTGGCCCGTGGGTTTGTGCTGACGGGAAGTGGCGCCAGACAGTTCACACAGGCTTTGGGCCGCCTCATGCGTGGATGTCAGATCGATCGGGTGCTCCATCGAGTAGCCGGAGAGGTCCGGAACTTGACTTATAGGACCAGTGTAACTCTCCGGGGAACTGTAGACCGGACCAAGCGAAACTTCATCCGGGGGAGACACGATGGCCAAATTCTTACGGCCCTCCTTCAGAGAATTACCAGTGCAGCGGAGCGTAGCCTGCACGGCCAAACGAGGTACAGAGGCCCCAGTAACCGAGGAGCACGACGACATGGAAGACGACCGCGAGGACTGTGAGGACAAGGTCGATACATCCGACACCATCGAATCCGGAGACGAGGTGGAAGAGGCCGAGCGAGCCAAGGAAGACCGACGTACGAGGCTAGGGTAGCCATCAAACGTGCTAGGCTTAGGACAAAGCGATAGCGGCGGGCGCTGGTCGTAGACCGACCGCGCCGTGCACATACCTTGTCCCTGCGACATAGCAGCTTGCATGTAACGCCGGTGAGCAGCAATACCGCCAGCACTCACTGCAGGAGTGGAGGCGATGCTCGGCTGAGGGGTCATCTGGGGAGTCGGCAGCATCTGAGGCTGTGGCATGGGTGGAAGGGATGGCAGGGAGATCTCCCGTTGGACCATCGATTCCAGAGCCAATGGAGGCAGAGTAATAGAGTCATTCGTAGGAAGTCTGGGCAACTCCCTCCGGGTCGAGGTGCCGCGGGGGGATGGCGATTCAGCCACGGAACGGGAGTCGAAGGCTCCCATGCTCGAGGGCGTCGCAGGGCTGGCGTCCAAGTCGTCCAAGTCGGGGGTGAGCTTGGGAATGATCGTGCGCCAACACTGGCCATCATCGACCGGCATGCTGCTGGCGCCCGGAGTGAAGCGCAGCACGATGTCAGTCCACCGCTGGAACAGTGACTCGGGGATGTGGAGTCGCCAGTTAACTGCTTCGAGGAACATGAGCTCATTCTGGTTGATCTCGGCAGTATTCAAGCCGGAAATCTTGCTCCAGGCACGAGCGGAGTAGTTCCGGTCCTGAAGGTATTTCGAGGCGAGAATCAAAGCCGCCAAGAACATGCGCCGCCCGCATTGCATAGCCCGACAAGCGGACTTGCCTCGAGGTTGGTCTTGCGTCAGATCGTGGCTGGGCACGTGCGACTTGATCTTGATCAAGTAGTACAAAGCCACCTGCAACGTGCTGTAGCTAGTGCGCGAGCGACGGAGTGTTTCTTGGATGAAAGTGCGGAGGGGCAGCACGCCTTTGCAACCAGTTGCCGAGTCACTCCGGAGCGACACTGCGGATAGTGGCCAAATGGCCTCGACGATCTGCGACGCGGTATCTTCATGGGGTGATTCTTAGCTCCGATACTTTTTTGACCAACGTGTTCAGGAATCTCTCCACAACTTACCGACAAGGTTATCAACGAAGTTCACCTTCCGCTCCGACTGTCTCAAGAGACAGGGCGGAGGCCGCGTGCATGATGCGCCGTTCGCCTGAGTCGCGCTGTTGGTCCGCCGGGGATGCTTACGCAACTCGGGCGGGACAACGGCCGACTCGGCAACTCGGGGAGCGTTTCCCCTTAAGCAACCACGTGCTCCTACCACCGGGAGGCCCCTGCCTCCAGCCGAGTATTCTCCTTCATTCTCCCAGATCACGTCCACCGGCAGCGTGGCAACGGAGGAAACCGAGCTGTGGGCAGGCACGCCATCCAGCGAAAAGACCGAGGAGGTCGAGGAAGAGGCGGAGGAAGAGGCCGACGATGCGTAGGGGTGCGCATAGGTTGCTCTGATTTGAAAGTTCGGGTTTGGATCCTTCAAACCCAAAACGTCAATCCCTGACATATCCGGGATGATGTCCAGTCGAGAGACCTTGAATACTTTTAACAGAGAGAAAAAGATTCGAAGTACCTCAAATGGTCATCCAGAAGGCTGGCAACCTGTTGCTAGACTTTTCAACTGCTGAGGAGCCGCGGAGATGGCCAAGAAGAGTGCGTTTAAATTTGTACCGGGATTATCAAGTAACCGTTATGCTGTAGACCGTAAACGAGTAGCCGTAGGACAAGAAGCCGTCTTTTTATGAGCAGGCGACGGCAAACCCTTAGTAGCGAAGAATCGCCAGTGTGGTATGAGTCGAAAGTGAATAAGGTGTGAGTCAGGGGAAGGCGACAATAACCATCCACCACGGACGTGGGTGAATAGCTAGGTGAAGAGAGATTGGGTGCGAAGAAGACAAAAAGTTTAGTAGGCAGTGAGTAACGTGTTATTCACCGTCTACTGTTCCGATCACCGGGTGTAGACTTCCGGAGATATCAAGCCGAATATTGCGCAACAAAAGAGACACGTAGGATGACAACGTGATTCTTTCAGGTGACAGATGCCGTTTATGTCAAAGAGCACTTTAGATAGAAGCGATCTTGCCAGAGATTCGGATATCTGAGACCAGGGAAGCAGCAACACGGGCGATCGGAACAAGAGATTTCGAAACAACAGGGTACATCTTGAGGTATGGGGTGTAGTATATCAAGGGCCGATAGAACGGCGAACTGTCACAAACAAGCAGGCGGCTACTGTATGCAGCGGCGCTTGTTCAGGCAGTCAACGGTCTATCGGATAAGAGGAATGGCGCGGTGGAGGAGTTGGGAGGTTGATGAGGCTCAAATAGGCTGAAGGCGAAAAGGGATCGAGTCAGCAACGATCAAGTAAGATAACTAATCTCTTTTATTTCGGGAGGCGTTGTGTAAATGTGAGTGTGTGTGTGCAGTTTTTATGATGACTCTTACTCCGGATCTCACTAGGCAAGGAACCGAAGAAGGCTTTAGGCTTTCTCCTGTCCGGGTGACTATTGGGAGGCGGCGGGCGGAGCACAAGACAGACAGAGAGACTGAGTGACAATAGTGACTAACTTGGGGGCGAACCAGTTGCCAGACTAGCCAGACACTAAAAATGATTCAGGTTGAGATGGCAACCTGAAATCAGGCAGGGAGGCAAAATAGCACAAACACACACCGGGGGGGGGGAGGAGAGGAGAGGGAGGCGTAAGTAGAAGGGAAAACAAGAAGACCCGACTATTCGAGTAAAAATGGAAAGCGTGGTTACTCACCGCGGGCGAGGGTGGCGAGAGTGGCGGGACTTGGTGGGTGTGAGTCGAGCGGACGCAGGGACCGCTTTTCTTCAGGGCAGTTTGGTTTGGTTTGGTTTGGTTTGGTTTAAGAGCGGAGAGAAAGAACAACGGGGAAACAAGGGAAAATCAGACCACCAAAATCCAGTACAGAAACAACAACAGTAGCCTTTGGCTCTCACTCTCGTTCTAAAGGGGAACAATAAAAAGGGGAGAGGGGAGTGTGGGGGAGAGGAGGGAAGGGGATAGAGAAGAAAAGGAAAGGAGAAGAGAGGCACGGGGGGGAGCGAGGCAGAGAGAAATGGGAAGAGGAGAGGAGGAAGATGAGTCGAAGTGATTGAGTCGAGTGGGAAGGCAGGAGTAGAAGGGGAAAGTAACAGCAGCAGCAATAGAGGGATCGGGAACTGGACGGGAGCGGATATCGAGTGGAGGAGGACGACGAGGACGACGAGGAGGGAGGGCGATGACTCTTCTGTGGCTGTTCCCGCACGATAACTGGGCCTGGTCCAGTACTACTTACATAGTACTCTCGACAACGACTAGTTAGAAGGCCCGACTTGGGCATTACACCAAGTCATTTGCTGATGCTTATTTGTTCATGACTGATGATACTCATTAGACTGAGTGCTCATGACTTATTCATTCTGCATTAGCTAACTTAACTAGCAACGAGGATAACCTAAGCAACTGCCCAAGTACTCGTAAATCTCTCCGACGATCCTGTAGTTCATGATCTGATCCTCTTGCTCATTATTATTCATCCAGCGGAGGCAAAAGACAACCTCCCTTACCCCTCTTCGATGTCCCTTCTTTTCCTTCGATGGATGGCGGGATGACCATGGTCGAACAAACCTTTCACAAACCCCCTCTCCCCCCCCCCGGCACTTTCTGGATTCCATCCCATGTTTGTGAAATAATGGATGGATGGGGTGGTATGGGCATGACTAAGAATCCACGACCGACCCAACCCCCATTTCTCCGCCCTGGTGGAGCAACTCAGTCATTCGTTCAATGATAACAGCCACCTTAGCAATGTTCGCCATGATGGTTTAACTCATTCTCTACCCTATCTTGAGCTAGTGTGCTATCATCGGACCGCCCAACCATCCCCGTACTCCGGTAGTTTAGTTCTCTATCAGTTCCTTTCTCTTCTATCGATAGGGATTGGACTATCTATCTAGGTGCTTATGGCGATGACTGTTGTCCTACCCCGTCGGGAAGAAAACACAGAGAGAAAAAAAAAGGCCACGCAGCACTGCCAACCAGCACCTCTTCTTTGAGAGCGACATCGGCCACCGACTAGTTAGTTACCTACTATGCATTATCAGCAAGTACTCAGTAGTTAAGCGACGAACTCTGTTAAGCAGACTACTGTATAACAGCCGGGAACAACTTACAGTTGTCCATTCAAAACGCGACGAGCCCATCGCGTTGACGTCTATACCCCATAGCAGGCGGGCGGTATTGCTCAAGGATATATCAGCCGTAAGCCAGCTGGTTCACTAGGCCCCCCATCCGCCGAGGCTAGTTTGATTACAACTTCCGAAAGTGACTTAACTTTATGATGCTACATTGGTTACTTGTTCAAGGTACAATTTTGTGCATTCGGAGTTCTCCATCCATCCTTTCATAGAAAAATAGCCTAGAGTAGAGGGAAGAGCTGCCGGGTTCGTTCGACGACCCAAGGGAAAGGGAAAGCAGAAAACTTCGGGACTACTTGGTCAGTCAGCCAACCACACGCGGACGGATTATTTGCCAGCCACGCCACCATTCTGAGGAAAAAAAAAAACTCGTACGGGTGAGGCAGTGACACGTACATGCCACCCTCCTCCCAAACATGGCGAGATCTCTGCCCTAAATTTACCATCCTCCTTTTCCCGAAGGAGGCGTCACCAGGTAGGGAGAAGAAAATGGGGGACCAAAATGTCTTTTGTTTGGGGATCAATCCACGAGCACACTCCTCACATCTTAGTCACCTACTACGTACAGTACATAACACAGCCCGTACTCTATAGGTACAGTACGTAGGCCATGCTGAACATCTGCATCTATCCACTATCCACATGTCTTGCTGCATTAGAAGTTGCACCTCCCGACCAGAACAACTGGCTGTGGAACCTCTCCGCCCCCCTCCCTCTCCCTCTCTCTTTCCGACCCCTTCCGTCCGTCAGAGTCGGTTCCAATTAGGTAACCCTCTTCCTCCCTCAGGCAGAGTCCCAGGCAGCCAGGCTACAGCTCCCCTTTTTTCCGGCTCAACACTTACTCCGGAAAGTCTCCGCCCGCGAGCAGTCTGCGCGGGTTGTATGATTAATGCCTTTCGTATCGGACGTGCCTTGACCATGAGATCTATATCCGGATATCCGTTATCCAGAATCCGTGAGGTTATTTATGTGCCTCTTCTTAAACCCTCCCAGCGGAATGCCGCGGAAGTGCTAAAAACTCACTTCCTGTCCCTCCCCTCCGTACTAATCAATCCAATCCTATTGGAACGAAACCCTCAAAGCAAAAAAAAAAAAAGCAAAAAAGCGATTATTATCAGGGAAAGCGCATAGGACAAAGGCTAGACTTGAGCCTGTCCATTCCTGTATGTCTAGCGAAAAAAAAAAGTTTACGAAAGTAAGCATGCAATCAATGTATGTTCATGTACGTATGTACAGTACTTTGGTTCGACAAATGTCAAGCACGGACAACAGCCCTCAGAAGATGCCAGACGGCTACTAGAATCTTCTAAGTTCTGGGTCTGAGTCTGTTACCCCATACTCTTTACACAGGATGAGTTACATAGTATGAAGCTGTCATTGTCATCATCATCATCATCATCATCATCATCATCATCATCATCATCATCATCATCATCATCATCATCATCATCATCATCATCCATCCATCGTCAACATCGTCATTACTCCTCGCCGAGGTTCCGAGGTAGCGGAATCAAGGGACTTCAGCCTCGTGCTCTGTCTCGATAGAAACGAGGCTAACTAAGAATAGTTTGCCCTCAGCAAAAAAATGGCTAATGGAACTACAAGTCGGTCACTTAAAATGTGGACAGCCTTCTTACCCTTAACATAGAAGAGCAAAGATCAACTTCCTAAGGTCATGGCGTGAGTGGCTGAGGGGCAAAGAACATCCATGATGACAGTAAAGAAAGAGAAAAGAGGGGCGCTGTGTGGGGAGCAAGCAAGCAAGCAAAGCAAAGCATGGCAAAGCCTGATTGGCAAGTGACCGACCGGCCTCTCACTTTTTCGCAGGACTTGTCCTACGTAAGCGGCCGGCCAGACAACTTTTGCCCAGCCCAGCCCTGACTAAAGGAACCCAGAGAGGCTAAGACTCCGTCTCCGACTGATTAAAAGCACCACCACACAGGCAGAAAGTGGAGCAACAAGGCGCAGAACCTAGTGACGCGCGGGGTTTTTCGCGCGGGGCCCATGTTTTGGACCGACTGGCCAGCCTCCAGATGTCCGGTGAACCTGCCAGGTGCAAGTGGCAGCAGGCTGCAAGGCTGCAAGGCTCGCGGTTGGCTACAGCCTACAGGGGTTTGATGTTGATGCCTGAGACAGAAACAAAACCTCAGGCATTCAACAGAAACCCCCCAGTGCCCTACAGGGTTGGTGACTTGATTATAACCTGGTATGAAGCAACATCAACCGACATCGTAGCAGCGGGAGAACATCTTATGGTTGGTTAGATGCGTGTAGCTACATGATATGTAGAGTATGCTGGTAGAGCACAAAGTGAACCTAGGCTAGCTTGCATCAGTCTGATTCTAGACTGGGAATTTCGGTGCACAGCTGTAACCACAATATATCTCATCCTGCTGTACATATCTCGCACTCGAGAAATGAAGTAACAAACTCCACCTACTCGGACAAACCAACGAAACCTCAAGCAATCAAGTGAAATCTCCCAAGCACCCTCCCCCAAGAAAAGACCCTTAAAACAACTCCCTGTCCAAACCAAGCCCTCGCAGACACGTACATACATACTAGTACCTCCCGAAACTCAAACCTCCCGCCCAAACAGAGCATCCAAAACACCATTGCATCAAACAAACAAACACCCCCAGTCCCTCATCGCAAAAATCAGGTACTTTTATCCCCCGACCTGGACCTCCCACCACATCACCACCAATCATCCCCACCCCCACCCTCCTCAAAATCCGCCATACAAACAGAGCAACCCACCCCCTCATCCGCGATCATGGATGGTATCCTCCGATTCCCCCGCCCATCTGGAAAACACAAAAAAAATCCTTGAGCTCCGATTCGGGAACAACATGCAGGTGATATGCAGAGCTAATGCCGGCTCATTTGGAGGTGCCTTTTGACAGGGCCACTCAGAGGGAAACCGTTGCGTATGCTTTTTGTTTCTGAATGGTTGGTGCGGTGTGTAGGAAAAGGCTCGGTTTTGAATTGGTAGATATTAGTAGGGGGTTTTTTTTTCTTTCATTTGTGACAAGTGTACGAGTAGGTTGGTGTACTGTGTAGTATGTACTGTAGGTATAGTGTAGAAGGAGGGACTTTGTTTCGTGCTTAAGTTCGATGAAAATATCGCCTATGGTTTGTATTTAGTATTTCCTGAGGTAAGGCGGAACTACATTAGAGTAAAGCATCAAGAGGCCAGAGTCAAAAGACTTGTGTACTATATGTGCAGACTTTCTACCACAAGGTTGACGAAAGACAACGTGAGTGTTAGCATATGCGAAGAGATCCCTCAGTCACAACCGAGCATTAGATCGACCCCATGCATCACTTGATATCTGCCCGCACCTTCTCCACGAACGCAGTCAGATCCTCCAGGAGAACCGCCGGTCGTTCGAGCGCGGCGAAATGTCCTCCCTACCGTAATGGTCAGCTGTATAACTACTTATGCATCACCGTGACCAATCGAGGAGGGGAACCTACCTTCTCATGCGTATTCCAGAACACCAAGTTCCCGGTCGTTTCGATCCAGGCCCGTGGGACCGGCATCAGCTCCTTGGGGAAGTAAGAGAACCCAAACGGTTTCTTGATGTACCACCTCGGGTCCCCGGCGAGTTGAAGCTTAGGCATGGGGACTTGCTGCGCGCGGTGTTACTAACACATCTAGCCACCCCCAAAAAGGAAGGCGAATCGTGAGCTGTAAGAACAAGCGAAGACATACCTCGCGATAATGATAGATACACCGAGGAAATGACTCGGTGAGCCAATACAACGATACTGACTCGAGGATATCATTCAGAGGAAGGGGGTCGTCGGGCCAGTCGAGGAACTTTTCTCCGACCCTAATCGTTCGCCGATAAGCTTCCAGCAAGAACGAGAGGAGGGGGAAAATCACAGCAAGCCGTGTACTGTACAGAGGAAGCAGGACACAAAACTCACCAAGCAAGCAAAGCAACCGGGTTCGCCGAAAGGACGTTCCCGATGGTGCTGGGCCGACTGCCATGCTCGAAGCTGTAGGCGGCGCCATAGGTCATGAACCACTCCCCGCGGGCCAGGTTCTGTTTCTCGAACTCGGAGATGGACGAATCCTGCACGTGGGCGGGCTTGCCCATGTAGCATGCATTCACTGGAGGTTGTTCTTCCGCGTTAGATTGGGTAATGTCCGGCTCCCCTGCCACACTGCTGGTAGAAACTTACAATGAACCGCTGTTCAGTCGAATCAGTAAGCCGAACTTCCAATTTCACGGCGACGGAAACACAAAGCTAAGGGAACATACCTTTGCAAGCATCGTAATCCACCGCCATGATCCGGCCAATCCTCGACCCAATATCACCCCCCTGTGCCACATATCCCCCCTCGAACCCGAGGTTGACCATCACCTGATTGATGATCCTGGCCGTGTCCTGCCCCGTGAAGTCCCGGTCCAGAGGGGGACCGGATGACAGCGTAAAGCCTGGAAGGGACGGTACCACGACGTGATACGGGAGCTCCTCCGGAGAGTACTTGTCCTTGAGGAGCGACAGGAGGGGCAGGAACTCCAGGAAGCTTCCGGGCCAGCCGTGCAGTAGGACTATCGGGATTGCATCCGCTTTCTTCGAGAAGAGACCGACGAAGTGGATGGTCATGTCTTCGATCTCGTAGGTAAACTGCGGGAAGCTGTTGATGCGCTGCTCTGTAGGTCGCCTTTGCCCCTCCTTGGCGATTAGCGTGAATTGATAGATTGAGGGGGAGGTAAGACGTTTACCAGTCGAAGCTTTTCCACGCCTGTCTTGCTTCGAGGAGCCAGTCTCGAGTGATACCATATTTGCGATCTTCCTGCGAGCCTTCGAAGGTGGGCGGGGCGACCTTGGACAGCTTCACTAGCACGAGGAGCTCTTCGATCTGCGCGTCGGAGATGTGAAGCTGATAAGGCTTAGGAGGGACCTTGGCTCCAGTAGGGATGTCGCTGTATGCGAGAGCCATTTTGCTTTGGATAAGGGGGGGGGGGGGCTTTCAACTGTGTTCAGAATGTTGGACTGGGTGAGGAAATTGTCAGTGTTGATTTTGATGTTTTTGTTATGCTAAACGCATGATGTAACTGCGGGGTCGCCGGACTTTTCATATATTTGTCTCTCATATGCAGCAGCACTGACAACCAATAAGTTAATCAACTGATTGACCATCACTCCATGATTATTAATGCTCCCAATTGAGATCTGATCGGTGAAGTCAAGGGTAAGTATGGCTCAAAGTGACTCGGTGTCTGTGGATCAACGGTGATATCGGCTACAGCAAGTAAGCCTGCACTAGCATCCTTATGTGGCATGGTGTTGAATCTAGAAATTAGGCACGAGGCTGCAGTGGCCAAAGCGCAGCAACTGTAAGGTATTGATATGGAGATGGTTTCGTGCAAAGGTACGTGGTCTATCAGAGTAGCTATAATCATTTCCCTGCTCGCCTGTGGACCTCTAAAACCATGCAAGAAAGTATCTATTCCCACGAAGGAAGCGTCATCCAGCTGGAAGCGAAATGTGCATCAGCTCTTTCAATACAATAGAACCTATACAATTGTCTCCACCCTCAATCAACCTATAAACCCACTGTACGATCCTTAACTGGACCTGGAACTTGACCTTTTTCCAGGAGTCTCTATACTTCTTCGCGCACATAGCATCATCTCGACGTTCGCGGTGTATCAGAAGAACCGGGCGACGGTGAAAGAAAGACTAGCTTCTCCAACAACGATCTTGCCCATACTCAGATCCTGAAACCCGGCATCTGCTTTCACATCTGCCTCATTTAGTTCGCTGAGAGGGAAAAGAGGGTACGGGACAGCCAACAACACCATTACAATCAAATGCAAAGAGATATATTCGCAACGGCACGCCAAAGATGATGGCTGCAGCACCCAAGCTGTAGTGGAGACGTTAGCTTTGATTCTAAATAGGACGGAAAAGGCAAGGCCTACGGTCCGCCAACCTCGTGCTCGGCTGTCATACAACAGGTCGAATGGGATTATTTTGAGATTGGATGGCAATTCCTAGATGACGCGCAAGAGAAATACTCTGAAGTTCGCATAGATGACAGACACACCTCTGAATGCGGCGGACTGCACCGGCCAATGTAGCGTGAACGAGGGGCGACGACAGGAATGAATCCTTGTAGAGGAAATCACATCAAAAACGACAGCATCGGAATTTTGGCGCTCGTTGAACAGCCTCACATGCAGATAGAATTTCCTATCTTGTCGATATCTATCAGCCATTCTCCCCGGTCGACTGGAAATCAATTTTCGGTAAGGTAGTACACACCTGCGCTCCAAGCCAACAAGATCCTGAGCTGGGCATGGCACAATGTCGTCTACAGGAAGCTCGCGAGAGTGGATCACTCGGAGACTGGAAAGCTTGGGTACGCAATCGAAACTTAGTATCAGAGGCTCGTATACTACAAGTTCCAGTTTGAATCAGCTAACCATAGTTTGATTTACCTGCTGTCTACGTCTGGTCTGTATTGCGAGTTTGCTGTTTACGCATCCTAGGCTCAGCAGTCATTCAAACAGACAAAGCCCCGGCTGGAAACCGACATAATTGGTTCAAAGAGGACGGGTCCAATCTATTTCGATCGAACGATGACTAACATCAGACTGGAACTTCGATGTGAGATGACAGGCTATGGCAGCTTATATCGCGGCAACGACTTCTCGCAACACCTTCACAAGCGATTTGAGTTCCTCCTCTAATTCAGGTTAGTAGATTTATCGATCTCTGTAATAGCTCGAAACTTACCCGTATTATAGTGCAGCATACTGATCCGTACAACGCCGTCCTCAATGTCGTCCAACCCAATGATATCCTTGACCAGACGGTGACTATACATATGTCCACTTCGGAAGCCAAACGGCGATCGCTTCTCAACCTCTTCCACGAAAGCCTGACTCTTGATCCCCCTCACCACAAAGCTGATGACAGGAACCCGAAGCTCCTTGCTTGCTGATGGTTCTCCATAGATTGTGATGCGTTCCTCTTCGTTCAGATAGTCCAAAAGAATCTTCTGTAGCTTCTCCTCAAAGGTAGCGATCTGATCCCACGCTGCAGTGAAGTCAGACCCAAAGTATTCCAGAACGCGAGGAATGCTCTGGGTCAACTCGTAGTTTGCCGAAGCCAGATTGAGCTTCAGGTCTAGTGTTTCGGTGGTCTTGAAGTAGTGGCACAGGGGGCTGATCTGGTCATGGATCCGCGATGCGGCGTAGAGCTGGGCCATATGAGGGCCGTAGACTTTGTACCATGAAAATGCCTGCCCTTGTCAGCATATGCTGATGTACCACCCAAGAGCTTCGAACTTACGTAGAAGTCAACGTCAAGATCCTTGACATCAAGTTGTCGGTGTGGGGCGAGCGCGACACCGTCAACGCATACTAGGGCCTAGAAGACGTGAGATTGCAACCCAAATATCGTGTCGCGAAACTCATACTCGGGGATATTGATGCACTATTCTGGTGATCTGCTTGACGTCACTAATGGTGCCGGTGATGTTCGAGACGTGTGGAAACGCCACGAGCCTTGTCTTGTTGGAGAGCAACGCTTTCAGCTCCTCAGGGTCGCAGATGGGATTCTGACGGTCGGAAGCCGACCACCATTTTACTGTCAGTCCCAGGCGCGTGGCGATTCTATCCCAAGCGGCGGAATTGGCTTCATGGTTCAGTTTCGAGATAATGAGTTCGTCCCCGGGCTGGAAGTCAAGGGCGGTCGATAGGTTGTGAAGGAGCTGCGTGGTCGAAACTCCCAAGCAGATCTAAGGAGAGTTTCATCAGAGTTGATATAGGTATAGACTGAAGTCGAAGCCTCATACCTCCTCAGGTTTTGCGTTGATGAACTTGGCTGCTGCTTCGTAGCCGTGGCCGTAGGCGGCGGTTGACGCTTTGGCTATTTTGTAGGTGGCGCCTAATTGAACGTTGGTGCTCGAGAGGTAAGTCGTAATGCTGCGATAGAGTCAAATGAGGCTGTGTTCGTCCCTCAGTACTTCTAGATCACCTACGATTCAATGACCGAGTCCAACGCCTGGCTGCCTCCGGCGTTGTCGAGGAAGACTTGTTCCTGGTTCAGAGCTGGAAAGCGAGATCTAGCCTCAGAAACGCTGAAAGTCATTTTGTGAACCGTGTAGATTGAAAGATTATAGTAAATGAGAAATGACTGCGATGAAGGAATTGTTTGAATAGAAGGAGAGAGAGAGAGGAGCAAAGAGAAGAGGAGTGACCCCGCTTGATGACAATCTACTTTCCCACCCCCGGCGATCCACTTTCCCTCTTCATCTTTCTCATCTCGGAGATCCTTTCCGTTATCTATAACTACACTACACCATACAATGCTTTCTTGTGCCATATGTTGACTGCTTGCACCCGATAAGGCGGGATGACAGATGGGTTTTTATAGTTATCTTCATCAAATCCCTTGTTGTTACGCCAAGACTCGACCGTCAATCTCGCCTCCTTTTGATGCATGCGGAAAGATGGTGACATTCGTGTGTTAGCTCGATACCACGCCCTCCAATGTCTTACTCACCTTCATCGAGTATCATCGAATACAAGATTTGATGATGGTCCTACCAATGAGAGCCAGTCATTAAGCACATATCATCCGAATGCCACCCATGGATCGACCCAGATGCTCAAAGCGGGAGAAGCTGGAGTTTATTTCTAAACGAGCACACGAAAAAAGCCTCTAAATCAGCTCAAATTCATCTTGAAAGAGCTGACACCTACTGGAGCCCTCCGCTCTCCGACTTCTTATCGGCCTGTCACTGTCTGATCGCATGTGGCATCCAATCGTGGGTCGCCACAGCTATCATCCAGCAGGGGTGCTTATCTTGCTTATCTGACCCTGGGCCATCGATCATCGATGGGAGCCTGCAGGGTATTATAGTCGATCGCCGGGCTACATGCAATTGCTTCTCCACTAGGGAGCGACAGCGTGTGCGACAGTCTAATCCCTTACGTTGGGTCTGCTATCATTACTTTTGTGCACCCATCCCTTGACCGGGAACGACCTCACCTCAGCATCTCAGTCCATGACGAATGACAATTATCGGCAGCTATGAAGTTTAATCGGCCTCACCTTCATGTGGCCCAGTCGAGATCTGCATTTGCAGAGGGCAATTCTCGGTGGACAAACCTCGACCTCGACCCGGTGCCCCTGCATCGCCGCAAATGGGGCCCTCTCAGTTTCATCTGTAGGACTATCCTACATCAACTTGTGTCTACTTACTCCGGCTAACGAGGTTTAGCCTACTGGATTTCCGACGCCTTCAATGCAGCTACATGGCAGTTTGCCAGTAGCATCATCGCCGTCGGCCTCAGCTGGCGGGAGTCGCTCGCGATTGTCGCCATATCCTTTTTCATTATGTCATTTGTCATTGCCGGAAATGGCGCAGTGGGAGCGATCTATCATGTTCCCTTTCCAGTGATCGCGCGAGCCAGCTGGGGCTTCTGGGGATCGTATGTCGCCATCGTCTCCCGAGTCATCCTGGCGCTCTTCTGGTTCGCTATCCAGAACGTCAATGGAGGCAATGCTGTGCGGGTCATGATTGGTGCTATCTGGCCCAGTTTCTTGAGGTTGAAGAACGACATCCCGGAGGATCAGGGTATCACGACGAATGGCATGGCGAGCTATTTTATTTTCTGGCTCATCCAGCTGCCGTTTCTCTGCATCCATCCGAACAAAGTGCGATGGTTGTTCGTGGCCAAGTCGATCATTGTTCCGATCGCCTGGATTGCGATCCTAATTTGGGCGTTTGTCGCCGAGGGTGGAGGGGACATGTTTGCGCAGAAGCCGAAGGTCTCTGGCTCGCAATACAGCTGGGTGTTCTTGTCAAGCATGACGGCGGTTCTTGGGAATTACGCCACCCTGAGCGTCAATCAGGTATGCTTTCCATGCCGAGAAGGAACCGAGAAAAGTGTCTAACGAGAAGCAGTCTGATTTCTCTCGATACTCGCGCGTCACCCCGAAATGGCAGCTTCTGTATGTCCCCATGCTGCCGATCATCTTTACATTCATCTCCTTCATTGGCATTGCCGCTTCCTCGGCGGGTCAGGCCCGTTATGGTGGCACGATCCCGTGGGATCCGATCGAGTTGATCAGCCACTGGTCCAGTCGCGCGTGTCGGTTCTTCGCAGCATTCTCATTTCTGCTGGCTTCCTTGGGGGTCAATATCTCGGCCAACTCCATCTCCGCGGCGAATGACCTGATGGCTCTGTTTCCGGGGCATGTTAACCTCCGGCGGGGCCAAATCATTTGCGGCCTGCTATCCTGGGCGCTGGTGCCGTGGAAGATCCTCGAGTCGGCGGGCAACTTCATGAACTTCATGTCGGCATATGCGATCTTTTTGGGGCCAATCGCCGCGATCATGCTGTGGGACTTCTGGGTGCTGAAACGCGGCAAGTACGACACCCTGGCATTATACCAGCCACACAACCCGGTCTACCGGTACACCTGGGGGGTCAATTGGCGAGCGATTGTCGGATTTCTGGTGGGGGTGGTCCCGAGTCTTCCGGGGTTGATCAGTTCTGTGAACGGCAGCATCTCGGTCGGGGTGGGGATCCACCCGTACCAGTTTGGATGGCTGCTGGGGTTTGTGGCCACGAGCCTTGTGTACGTGGGGCTGTCGTTCTGGTTCCCGGCGCGCGAGTCATTGATTGATAGGGCTGTGATGGCGGAAGAGATCTACGAGGCGCGGGAACCCGTGGAGGGGGTGTCAGCTGGTTCGGACGAGGCGTTGCACGAACAGGAGAAGATGAAAGTGTAGTTAATCCCGCCGCTACAGTACAGTGCAATACACCACTCCACGTCTCCTATAATGACCCACAAGTCCATCGTACGACAGAGAAAAACCAAGCATATCCATTTTTTACACTCCATAAAAGACGCCAATCCCATGGACAACAATCGCATAAGAAACGCAGAAAAACAATCAAACCTCCAACCCAGCTCCTCGCGCATACCCCAACGCCTCCTTCAGCACCTTACCAACCGCCGACGACGCCCTACCAACCTCGCCGCCATCCTGCCTCGCACTCTCGACCCCGCGCTCAACCGCCTTCAAGAACCTTGCCGCAAACACGCGGAACCGATCCTCGCGGGTCTCATACATCTCCCCCTCCTCATCCCTGGGCTGGCCAAACAGATTCAGATAGACATACGGCTGCGCCGTCTGGGGCAGCATATGCGCCTCCACCTGCGCCAGCGGGAACTCCCAGTTCCCAGCACCAACCGCAGCACCAGCAGCACCGACCGCTACACCCTCCTCCATCACCACATCCCCATCCTGCGGGGCCTCCGCGCCAATCCCCACCTCCAAAAACTCGGCCAACACGCCCAGCACCTTCACGACGGGCCGCCCGGCCGTCCCAGATTTCCCAAACGCGGCGCGCGACGCCGACCACTTGGACGACTCCTCGGTATGCCAGCCCAGCACGCTCAGAAAGCAATTGAGGGTCTTGATCCAGCCGCCGGCGCAGCCCACAACTTCCGACCCGGCAACCTCGACCAACCACGCCAGCACCTCGACGGCCGTGACCCGGATGTCGGCGGCCAGGTGGGTCATGCCGGCGCGGATGAAGGGGAGGAGCTGGGCGACGTGGTCCTCGACGTCACGCGGGGGCAGGGCGCGCAGGAGCTTGAGGAGCTGGGTGCGCACGGCTGTGTTGCCGTCCAGGATGAGCGGGGAGAGGGTCGGGAGGAGGGTACTTACGGGTTGCGGGAGCGGCCCTCCCCCGGGGCGGCTGTGGGTGAGGTGCGTCGTCAGGTGGGCGAGGGAGTCGCGCCGCTGGGCGTCGGACTTCGAGCCCAGCAGGGAGACGTGGTGCGTGAATTGCGTGGTGGTGGTTGGGGCGGTCAGGGTGAGGGATTGTTGGGTTAGGGTTATGCCTGTTTTTCTGTTAGTATCTTGTCTCTGAAAGTTGAGGATTCAGGGGAAAATGGGTGAGGGGGTGTATGACTCTTCGCTTTGAAGCTGGTGTCGGTGAAGTTGTCGGGTTTGGCTTTGGTTTTGCCGACTTTTAGTTTCGCTTTCTGGGTTCCGTTAATGGATGCATGGGGAGAGGCCCGGGGAAGAGGCGGAAGGGCGTACTTGGAAATCCTTCTGTTTCTCCTTCTTTTTCTTGGAGCTGGAGCCCATCGTGCCGGTTTGTCAGGGGTGATGAGGGATTTGATCTAAGAGGTGCTTTTAATTCGACTCCGTACACCGTGTTCTGGGGATTTGAGTGGTGCTGGTGGTCGTTGTCCTGCTGGATTTGGACTGGCCGTGGAATTTTTATACCATCACGTGACCTCACGTGAGACATGCTTTTGTGCATTGTGATTGGTCGGCGGGAGTATAGACACCCTCTGGTGTGTGGATAGCAGGCCTCTAACTGCACAGTTGAGGTGTAACAGGGGACGTTAACTGTAGATATAAAGTGTACGTCTTGCAAAGCTGCCCCTCGAAAATGATAATTGCATCTCATGCTGCTACAGAGAGACCCAGCACGGTAACCTTGAAAATTGCTTTCTCGAATGCATGCACATAAACACTCCATTCACACTAGAGAAGATCACTTGCCTTACACAAACACGCATCTATCACGTTCAACACCTACTAAGCCAAAAGGCAAGCATGGATGGTGACACGAGTAGCACCTACCCTACCCTCTTCAGCAAGAACCACCCGACGACACGCCCCGACAACCTCCATTCTCAACAACCGCAACACCCTACAACCGCCACCAACCCCTTCACCCCTACAATATCCATATCCAAATATCCCCAACAAACCCGAAGAAATGCAATCCCACTTCCACCACCGACACTATGAGCCCACCACAAGCACAACAACAACAACCACCACCCAGCCCGTAAAAACACCCCTCCAAGAAAGCGACTACACCCTCCCCCACCAAACCACCTGGCTTCACCTCGCAACTTACACGACCCTCCACCACGAGACCTTCAACATCTACACACACCTTCTGCCGGCACTGTGCTTCCCGGCGCTCGCCGTCTTCTCGCGCCTACCGCGCCTGCACATCCTCAGCTCGACCGCCTGCCTGCTGCTGTCGGCGGCCTACCACGCCAACAACGGACACTCGGCCTACGCGCTAAAGGCCGATTACTGTGGGATTTTGGGGTTGCTGGTCAGCAACTTTGTGACGGGGTTGCATTATGCGTTTGGGCCGATAGAGGGGGAGAGAGAGGGGGAGGGGGAGGGACGGAGGTGGCGGGATGTTTATGTCGCTGTCGTGAGTGGTGACCCCCTTCCGCCTGGTGGATAACGCACTGCAGTGAGGGAGTGAGGGTTATGCGGAGCGGAATGAACACATGCTAATGGTAATGGTCGTGCGGATGATGGCCATGGGAACGGACAGACCATCCTCCTCACCCTGCCCTCGCTGGGCTTGCATCTTCATCCCGCAGTTGGTTCGTCGGCACCGATACCCACGACCACCACGACCGAAAGCGCAGTTGGCAGTGACAGCAGCACCGCCAATAGCACAATCGGCAGCAGCATCGTAAAAAGTGCAGCCCGCAGCGACCCCCACCGCACCCTCCGCGTCACCGCCCTCATCTTCACCGGCCTGAGCGCCCTCGTCCCCATCACCCACCTGTACCTCCTGCACGACGCCCGGTACCTCCTCGCCGTCGGGGTGGGGTGGTATACCCTCGAAGGCATGGCGTTGATCCTCGGCGCGGTGGTGTATCTGGTTAGTTTTCCCGTTTCTTATACACACACCTTGCATCTCCACCTTCCAAATACAAACCAGCAAAAAGTTAAAAAAAAAAACCAAAGAGGGCTAAAATGACGGACCCAAAGAATAGAATCCCCGAACGATGGTACCCGCACAGCAAAGTCTTCATGCTGTGGTCGTCCCATGCCTTCTGGCATGTGCTCGTGCTCGTCGGGATGGTGGCGCATACGATGGGGTTGGCTTGTGCGATGGGCCTCGAGGCGGGAGGGAATTGATGGTTTGATGTTGATGTTAGGTGACTTGGAACTGGGTTGAGAGACTGGACTTTCAGTTTGAAGGCGTGAATTTGGAGGTAATGGGTCAGTCCTGGGTTTCTGGGTTCTCCTTGGACTGAGTTGTAGAGCCAAGGAGAGAGGAATCGGCAGTCGTAGAGTTGCGGTTGGGTCGGAGATCATGGATGGCTACAATCAAGTATCCTCCAGGCGCGCATGTGTGCGTTTATCAGTCGCGAGATTAGAATGGACATTAGACTGCAAACCACAATACAACGAATTATCCGTATCTGAACCCCTGTTACCATCCTAAACCCCGGGCAGATACGAATCTACTAGACCATCAACCCAAAAAATACCATAATCATCAATCTCGAATTCCACTAAGTCCACTAACAAAACCATAAAAAAGCCATCGACATAAACATAAAGCATAAACTCATCCATGAAACTCTATCCGCATTTAACAAAGTTCCAAAACCAAACAATGAGATGCGCACTTCTGCCCGGTCCCAAGTCCCAATAGAAAAAAAAAAAAAAAAAAAACCAAATCAAAAACGAAAGACAAACAAAAACAACAAGACTGGGAGCCGGGACAGACGCGATTGTATCAAGCAAGATAAAACAAATCACACACACAAAGTTCACAACAACAACATCATCAAGCTGATAATTCCGCCCTTGAAGATAGGAAAAAGAAGAGGGAGGGTCATCGTCATCCGGATCTTTTCACCTGTCGCTCGATAAAAAGCATCACGCCATTATTCTGTTGCTTCCGGCCATCCCCTAAAAAAAGATAAGGGAAGTTCCACATGCCGACTCAAGAAAGAGTTCATTAGGAAGGGTCACACTGCGAATCCACTCGGCTAGCGAGAATATGCAATCGGCTTGGATTCGACTGCGACTGGAGTCGACGGGGTCATCATGTCTATATCATGGTAGAGATTTTGAAGGAGTGTTGATAGGGTGGTCGACAATGAAATGTATCGAAAGTCGACGATTATCGAGATTAAGGTAAGAGGGGAAAAAAAAAAAAAAAGAAAAAGAAAAGGCGAGTGATGAGCTGCCCTCACAGACTCATTGTCAACCATTCCCACTCTTGACTCGCTCCCTGTCCACCAGCAATACTGTGGTTGACAGGGTTAGCGGCAGCAGGGGCCATGGCCGGAGCCAATGGCACCACCTTCGAACGACCCGCCGACGAGAGACTCGACTTGTTGGAATCATCCATAGCGTCCACGTCCGTGGCCTTTTCCAGCCGACGCTGACGCTTAGGCGCCACTTGAACCGAAGTGCGAGCCTGGCCAGGGGAGGATGTTGTCGGGGTCGACTTCGGAGGCGCAGCCGCAATAGGCACTACTCCCGCAGCACGGCTGGAGGGCGGCGGACCCCCGGGCATTGCAGGCGGGGACTCCGACGAGGTCGTGCCACTCTGAGCCCTGCTCGAGGTGGGCGTGGTCACACTCGCCTGTTGCACCGAGTTCTTGCGCACCGACTTCTTCGACGACCGCGACGCACCGACCGCCAGACTATTGGCACTGCTGCGGTTGCGCTTCTTGATCACGTCCGTCTTGAGTGACAGGGGCCGCACCACACCATGCAATTTCAGGAACAAGCCACAGGCGTTACACAGAGGCTGCCCTTCCGGGTTGCGACGCCACAAGGGAGTCGTTTGAGTAAAACAGTTCGTGCAGGTGGTCGGCCCGCTGCTCTCGCCGTTCTTGGAGCCTCCGGGGCTGGCCGGACGGGACGGGACGGCACTGCTCAGACCAGACTCGGGTGGGGTGTTGGGGGACGTGTGAGAGGTATTATTGGCGTTCATGCTCTGACGTAGCAGCTGAGAAGTGTTCGGGGTGGAGGTCGTGCGCGCAATCTTCTGCCGACGGGGATCCTGCTCCCGGTTGCGAACCTCGCTGACCGAGGCGGCCGACCCGTGCGTCCGGCCCAGACTGCCGCTTTGGTTCCACTCACTCGGGGTATCCATCATGTCAGCCGACCCGATAGTCACATGCTTGCGATGCTGAGCCGCAAACCCGGGCAGCGAGTGGAATGAGCCCGGAAATTGAGCATCCCACTGCATCCCAGCATTGAGGTCCGCAGCCTCATCAGCCAGATCGTTGGGCATGGCCAACCCGGCACGGTCGGAAAATTGGTTCACATCGTCATCCTCGTTGTCCGAATCAGCCCCAAAGCTGAACATGGCTGCGTGGGAAGCGCCCGTGCCAAAGTCGCCCAAAACCTGGGTCGGATCCACGTGCTGCGGCTGGGGTATAGGGTAGCCGGGGGAGTGCATCGAGGAGGGAGGGTTGCTGGCATGGTGGGACTGGTCCTGATTCTGGTTGTACATGTAACGTGGCTGCAACGATGCCGACAGATTCGACGAGCGATGCGTGACGTAGTTGGGAACCCGCCGCTGCGTACGCGCCTCAATCGACGGCATGTCAAAATACAGATTATGCTCGCCGTCATAGGCCGGCTGCGGCGTGGAGGCCGTCGACTGGTACCCCGAAGGCGGGGGGGAGAAAAAATCGGTCGAGTTCAGGGATGATGCGACAGGTGTGTGAGCGTACAGATTGGCAAACGGGTTTCCTGACGTCATGGGCGAATCGCTGGGGGAAAACGTGAAATTGGTCTGGTAGGGACCCGCTGAGGTCAGGATCGGGTCGTCGCCAAGGTTGAACGTATCCAAGCCAAACGGCACATTGGGAGAAGTGTGGTTGGAGGGGTGAGCGGGCTGGTGGTTGCCGTGGTGCAATCCAAACGCCGACGACGCATCCAGTGTGTAGTCGGGCACAGCACCCGCCAGGTCGGGGTCATGGTGGGCCAACATCGCGCTCGACAGGGGTGGCACTTGCGGGGACGCTTCGGCCGGTCGCTTGCGGGTAGGAACCTGGAGACCGAAAAACTGGCGCTCGTCAATACTAGTTTTGCGGACCCGACGAGGCACGTAGCCAAATTCGCTGTTCTTCCGCTGGTCTTGAGGAGGGTGGGTAAACGAGGCGGGCACGGGGGTTGGCTCCACCAGATGATCCTTTCGAGTGGATTTGATCGGAATAGCGGCCGAGTTGGTCTCGCCCTTGGTTGTCACAGAAGAGGGGTGGTCGGAAGGAGATTCGAAGGGAACAATGAAATCGTCGAGATTCATGGGATCCGAGGCCAGGTCGGTGGTGGAGGATTGGTGCGAGGCGACTGGTGTCCGGTCGGCCAGACGTAGCTGGGCGATCCCACTCGGTCCTGAAATGCTGTGTCTCGTCGACAGGCTGGCATGGGGAAATATGTGAGCGATCATTGCCGCAAGAGCGACCGTGGGGGGAGAGGCGGTGATGCGGACGCCACCTACCTAGACTGCTCAACGCGTTCCCGTTCCTTGCGTCTCAGACTCATTGCCATCATGCGCCAGGTCAAGTTCTCCATACGCTCCTGGTTGGGGAGCTGGGCCTTTGTTCTAGAATAGAGCTTCCATATCTGAGTCGCTAAAGGGTCATTCCTTTGCATCTCATCCGGACAGTCGTTACTCTCTCGGGGGGACTTCCACTCGGGAAACAGCGAGTCGTGAAGTAAACCGTCCTGAGCCTGAGAGGAATCGGCCGGCGAGATGGGAGAATCGAAGGAGAGATCGTCTGAGAGTTGAGAGGACGAGGGAGGAGGAGGGTGAGGGAACCGATAGTTGTTGGAGGTAGTGGTAGTGGTAGTGGTGGAGGAGCGGCGGTCGGGGTCGGCGGAATGTAAGGTCGAGGCAAATGCCGCGGATTGCGTCGGTCGCACACCACTCAACCCAGACATCATGACCGAATCTGGGTGTGGGTTTTGGGGGGAGGGGGCGAATGCTATTGGCAGGGCCCACGAGGGGCAGACCGGGCAGAAACAGGGCAATCTGACGGAGACTCAAGTGATTAATAAAGAATTATAATAAAAGAAAAGAAAACGACTAGAAAGAACTAGTGGGAGTCGAGAGAGTCGAAGCCCGGGCCAGATAAGGGCTGCAGAAAAGCGCGATTGGGAAAGACGGGCGAAAGGGACCAAGCGGGAAAGGCGATAAGAATAGAGGAAGGAAGTTGCAGTAGTGGTGGTGGTGGTGGTGGAGGTGGAGGGGGGAAAAGGAAGAGAAAAGAAAAAAAAAAAACCACCAAGAAAGACTAAACAGAGAGCAAGCAGCAGGGAATTGATTGATTGGAAGGGAAGGGGAAGGGGAAGAGAGAACACACCACCAATTTTTGGATAAGTAGAAGAAGAAGAGGAGTAGGTGGAAGAAAAGGAAGAACAGACAAGAAAGTGAAATATTGACGAGGGAGTGAATGAGTGAATGAGTAACTGTCGGTGCGGAGAGAGTCGATCAGACCCGACTCGACACCACCACGACAAAACCCGGGACGGGGGAAAAGAGAGAGAGCGAAGGAGACGGAGAGGAAGACGGAAAGTGCAAAAAGGGAGTGGGAGGGAGGAGGAAAGAGACGGGAAAGAGTCGGAGAAGCAGCAGCAGCAGCAAGCAGCAGCAGCAACAGTAGCAGCAGAGAGACAGAGACAGCAGCAGTAGTACAGTTTGAAGTGGGGGGATTGGTCGGGTGGGTGTTGGTTTGGCAGCACGAGCCATGAAACAACAATGAATCTCTGGCAAAGAAAGAAAGATTTCCTCTCTACCCGCCCTAAACGAATATCCCCCTCCAAAAAAACAAATCAAAAATAAATAAAACACGACCAATTCAATTCAAACTCTCTCGAACTCACGCTGCAACTCTTCTTCTTGGACTCTTTGACCGTCTGGTGGTCAATTCTCCGGATAATAATCGGAAAAGAGATCCCAGCAAACTCTCAAGTGTGTAGGGATCGAATGAGGACAATATGTAAGGTAGGGATAGGTGCAGAGAGAGAAGGTTGACAGTATTAATATGTCAAAAAGAAAGCAGAATAGAAAAGAAGAAGAAAAAAAAAGGTTAAAACCCACTCAGTTCTTGTCCCAAAAAAGGCAG